CACATGGTATCTTGGCATATAGCAGAAATCAGGACCGCCTCAACCTGACCTACCACAATATATATATATATATATATATATATATATATATATATATATATATATATATATATATATATATATATATATATATATATATACATATATATATATAGATATATATATATATATATATATATATATATATATATATATATATCATACTATACTTATAAAGGAAGCATTTTTTCTATCACCTCATGCATTTGAAACCCCTACATAAATTTCCAAGCACCTTATGCATTTGAAACCCCCACACCTTTTCACCTTCAAAGTAATTAATCACATATCATGAAAGATTTTATAACTTATATAATATGTTTAATTATCAATTAATGGATATTCTACTATAAAAATGTCATTCTTTTTTAGTAGACACACAAATACAAATCACATACAAAATTCACAAAGAAAACAAGTTAAATATTTTGTGTTGGTTTGAGGGCTTTGAACCATTTTTCGAGCCATGTTATTATGTTAAAGTTTTTAATTTGTACGTTTGTTATATACTAATTCTTTTTTTATATTTTTCTTGGTTTAATTATTCTTTTAAAACAATCATTGTATGTTGTGGTTGAAACTTTAATGTAAATTAGATTAGATTCATATTATCGATCATATGTTACGGAAAGTGATATAGATAATATTTAATTAAATATTGTATATATGTTTGTATGTTTGTGTTGCTTCAAAGTAATAATTAATAAAAAATCATGGATATGCAATATTATACATAATATCCATGTAAGTCTCTTTAAAATGTAAATTATCTATCTTATCACTTTATATTTTAGTATATGTTTAACATTCTAATTATAATAAAAAGTGTCTTTTAAAAGTTTTCTTTCATTTATTAATAATAATAAGTGGTTTTAAAACTAATAAACCATAATTATAAATAATAAAATCAAGTTATAAAAATCATGGATATGTCATATTAGCCATGCAAATCTCTTTTGAAATGCAAATTGTCTATCTTATCAGTTTATTATTTAGTGTATGTTTCACATTTTAATAGTAGTATTAAGAGTTTTTTAAAAGTCTTCTTTAACTTATTAATAATATTAAGTGGTTAAAACTAAAGAACAATAACTTTAAATGATAATAACATCAATTTATAAATTACATAACGTTAACAACAAATAAATTGTATTTTAAATTAACATCATTATTGAAATTAGAAAATAATCGCATAAGTAAAAATTTAAATTAATCAATCATAAAAATTATTAAAAATAATATTAAATAGATAATTATATTTAATTTTATTAATGAGGAATGTGGATTGATGTCAATGAATAATATTGTTCAAAATATTATGTCAAAGTTAATGTCAATAATATAACCATTTTAAACATATATTTTTCAACATTTTAACAATATATTTTTAACCTACGCTGCGCAACGCGTGGGAATTCGTCTAGTATTATTATATATATATATATATATATATATATATATATATATATATATATATATATATATATAGAGAGAGAGAGAGAGACAAGCAATCAAGTAAACACATAAGCATAGGCGACTATGTATACAAGTCTACCAATCTAACAACTCGCTACCACATACAAGGCCTCTTCCAATACACTATGTTACTACCGGAAAATCTCCAAGGAATGCATAACTATATGTAATCAGGGGTGAGATAGACATTCGAACAGATGATCCTGCTCTAGAGCCACAACCAAACGAGGAGCAGGAAAGAAATCCTAGATCAAGAGTTCTCATACTATCCTATGTGGCTACATACAACCCCTAGGGTACTCCACTAGACGATAACGAGTTTACTAGTACTCTAACTAGCACATATCTACTCCTATATCCTAACATTGAAGGATATATCTAACATATCACTACAGCATAGCAACATCCTATACACAAGGATACATAACTCAATCTAGTGGGTTGGTTTTGGTGCATTCGACCCCGAGTACACCGAGGAAACTCACTAGAATCGGAGACCCAAGAATCACCACGAGACACTCACTTACTGCACTGATTGCTCCTTCGACCTACTAGCACCAAAACACATTAGAACCTTAATCAAAATCCTAATTCCTTCAAGTTTGAACCAAAGTCAAACTGGTCAAAAAGTTAACGGTCAATGATTAACAAAAAGTTAACGGTCAACAAGTCAACATTTACCACGACGCGGAGGTCCTTCTGCCACGTTGTGGGCATCTAGGACAAAATAGTCGACTTACAGATCGTTGACACACCATGGAAAATCCATAACAACATAAATGCGAAATTGGACTTTGTAATGCCGTGGGAATTGGCAGAATGCTAAAAACTTTCTAAAGTGCTTAATCCTTACATATCTGAACCCAAAGTATCAGAACTACTCCTTTTCAATTGCTTAATGGATAAATTTTCTAACTTTATCCATTAAGACTCCATTACAAGCCAAGATCTACAACTATAAGTTCACTAAGTCCTTAATGAGGCCATAACTTGAGCATGAACACAAGATACACTAATCATGGTTGTTTTTCTCAATCAACAAAAAATCCGAGGACCAAGGAAAGCCACCACAAGTTCTGGAGTTCTTCAAACTCTAAGAACATCCAAGGAAGGGACAAAAACTACCCAAATATGATCAAGAACTTGAATCTAGAAGAAGAGATGTCAATGTATGAACTTTGTACCTTCAAAAACTCATAAAACTGAAGAGAATGTTGGATCCAAACTTGCTTCTTGCTTCCTTGCTTCTTTTTGAACTTCATACTTCGCAAACTCCACCAAAACTCAATGAATAAGCTTTAAATCAAGAGAACCAAGCTCTCAAGCATGCATGAAGGCTAGGGTTTCACTATGGAAGGGTTTGAGGCTGAAGAGGATGCCCTAAACCTAAATTTTAGGGGCTTAAATATGATAGAAACCTTAAAACTTCATGGCGTTAGGCTGCACCAGCTGCTAGACCGTGGTATAATTATTGCCACGCCGTGGAGACCATCCAAAAACATGTGTTTTATATCTTCCATTCCAAGTCGTGGCAATCCATCCTCAAGATCGTGGTACTCAATCTTTCCCAAAAATCCCCCCTTTGATTCTTTTAAGTTCTCCGCTGACCTACATAGGAAAACAGGTGTTACAATTCTCCTCCACTTAAATTAGATTAATTCCGTTATCAACATCGGTTCCTATTGTTGGATTTGGTGTCTAAGCCCATAACTGTAACTGGGATGTACTTGACCCGATTGTAGCATGGTCCTTTTGGGTTGCCTTCACCAGTGCAATTTGATAGGATGAACTTTTGAGAATAAAATTATTTATGATTATTAATATATTACAAGTATAATATATTAATATGAAATTATTTAATTAGTATTGATCAAGAATTATTTTGGAATTAATTTTGTGGTCAAAAGAAACTAATTAAACATATAGGGATTGATTATGTAAATCAATGATTCTTGTAGTGTGGGCCAATGATCCATGATTATTTAGATGGGCTAATCCAATGAGATAATCCATGGATAGTCCATAGAGGTTAAATCCATGGAGCATTAGAATGTGGAAAGTAATGGGTCATTAGGGTTTACAAAGTGTAACCCTAGCATGTGCAACACTATAAATAGGACCCTCATGAACCAAAATCGGTGACACCTTCGTTTTGAGATAAGTAACTTATTCTCTTAAGCCTCCTTTTGCATATTGGTGTTTATGAACCATTAGAGGCATCACACTTGGGGTGCTCAAGCTTTCAAGGGTCAAGAACTACTAGTCCTTCTAAAAGGTATGTCATTTAACTAGATGTGTTATTCAATTGTTCAAATGTATGCTAGTTTGGACAATGCTTTGGAAAATTGAAAATATGCATGTATAATTAGAGAAAACATAGATCCAAAGCATTTAGGGTTGCATGTGCACCATAGGAGTGTTATAGTGCTCAAAACCCAATAGTGGTATCAGAGTCTAGGATTGTTTTCTATTATATTTGATGCTTACTAGTTTTTCAAAACTGAAAAAGTCGAAATTTTGGCCTCTGACTGGTGAACTCGCCGAGTCCATGAACAGACTCGACGAGTCCACTCAATAATAGAGAAACTTGCCGAGTCCAGTTCATGCACTCGACGAGTTGAAGGCTCTGTTTGCAGAATTTTGAGTTTCTTGGCCTAGTTTGGATTGGGAACACTACCACAAACTGTTTTGGATCATTGGAAATGTTTTTTATGATATGGTAGTGCTAGTACTCATCCAAGCACAAGATAATTGTCAAAGTTTTAAAATAATTGTTGTTTTTATATGATAAACAAAATTGCTTTCAAATTGTTGACTAGAAATTATCTTGATTATGAGTTTAGTTAGATCATAGATTATGTGATAATTTTAGTTGTTAGAAAAACGATCTAGATGAATTTTAATGACCTCCATAACTTGTCCTCAAGTTATGGAAAATGAAAGGACTCATACATTAAAATCCAATGAAGCTCATAAGTTATGAATGTGAAGAGTTTTGACAAGTTTCAAAACTTGCCCTCAAGTTTTGTAATTTGTAAAGTCACACTAATGAAACTTTAATTCCAAACCCTAGAGTTTTAAAAGTTAAAATTCAACCCTTATACTTTATAATATTATAAGTTTAATTATATATATATATATATATATATATATATATATAATATATATATCAAGGTTGTAAAAATCGCTCGGCGGTCGACTGGGGTCAAGCGATTAATTGGTCTAGGCGGGGATTAATCGGCGCCTAGGCGGGGACCCTTAATTGTAAAAAAAACTTAAATATTACCTATATCATATGATTATCTCTAAACAAAATAATAACAAAATATGTAAATATCCATAAACGTTTACATATTCAAGTCATCAAACAATACATGTCCAAAGTAAATAAATATTCATAAACGTTTACATATTCAGGTCATAAAACATCATACAAAGTCAAAAATAAGTTTTATAAGATCAAACTTTTGATTGTTCACAGGCTTCTACTCTTTATCTCCGCATTCTTCCATGATGTGAACTCCATCCGATTCATAATCAACTTCTTCAAATACTTCCTGCTCACTCCCTGACGCAAAATCTTCATCTAAAAGTTCTCTTGTTCTTGAACTTTGTCCGAGTTCATCGGTTCCTTGACCATCACCAACTATGCCAACTCCAACTCCATCTTCATCACAATCACCACAATCAACAATCCATTCTTGAGCCGTGTGACTATCATTAGCTAATAGCACTTCCATATTCCTTTCTTTTCTCTTTTTGTTTTTTCCATCAAATTAGCATTAAATTGGACATAAACAAGATTGTTCATTTTACTTGCATCCAACCTATTTCTTTTCTTTGTGTGAATCTACAAACATAAAAACAATAAATGGTAAAAAATATACAATATTATGATATAAAATTATAATTTAAATAAATTGTTGAAATTTGAAGTTTGAATTCTAACCCCTTCAAATGTGCTCCAATTCCTTTCACATCCCGATGAACTACTAGTTAAAGAAAGAATTCTTATTGCAATCTTTGTCAAATGAGGAGTTGCTCCACCAAACGTACCCCACCAAGTTGCTATGATTTTTAAACATAAATCACATTATTAGATTCATAAATTGATAAATATGAATTTTTATAAAATAATTAAATAAAAGTAAAATGTTTTACCCGGATCATAGTCACCGTCATTAACTTCACATGCTTTAACTGTAAGTTCCCGACCAAATCTATCCATTTTTTTTCTTGTACTTTGGCAACTCAATAGTCATGACTTGCTTTTGCATCTCTAAATCTCCGAAAAATAATGTATCAAAAAACTCAAGAACCGCATCCATTACTTCGGGATCATGTTGGAGTTGCGGATCCTTATGATGATAATAAGGATTTAGAAGATAGGCCGTCAAATGCAATTTTGAATCTAGTCTACCTTTCATTTTCTTTGATATGATATTTATGATAGGCTCATATGCTTTTTTGTTACTGCCTAAAGCATCAATGATTTCTTTTTTTGCTTTTTGAATGTCACCATAAACAAAACCCATCGAGGGCTTCCAATCCGCATCAACCATACGAAGGACTTTCACCAAAGGGGAAAACACCTTTAAGCAAAGTGCCACACCAGCCCAAAATGTGGAACCTGTCACCAATGTATGACTAGATCTCCCTTTAACTGCATTTGAAAATTTACATTCCTCCCATTCGTTGCTAAAGAACATATGCCTTAGTTGCTCTTTTTTTTCAGACAAACTTTGTAATGTTAGATAGGCGGAAGCAAATCTCGTAACACCCGGTCGGATGATATCCCTTTTGTTAGTGAATTTTCTCATCATAGCTAATGTTTTGTGGTGGGCATAAATGAAGATGGTTAGTTGCTTTGCTTGATCTAAGACTTTCTTGAACCTTGGAAGCCCACCAATACCTTCAAAAAATAATCACGATTAAAAACACAAATAGAATTATAAAACACAATAAATAAAATTATAAATACCTTCAAGCATAAGGTTAATGGTATGTGTCGCACATGATGTCCAAAAAATCTTTGGTCTTTTCTCTTTTAGCAACTTTGCGGCTCCCATGTTATTCGTGGCATTATCGGTTACTATTTGAACAACATGTTCGGGACCAACTTCTTGAATGCAAGATTCCACATAATCATATATATGTTGACTTGTATGTGCTTCATCCGAACATTCTTTTGAAGATAAAAAAACGGTACCCATCTTTGAATTGACACATAAATTCATAATGCTCCTCCTCTTTCTATCAGACCAAGCATCCGTCATAATCGAGCATCCATCTTGTTTCCATTCTTCTTCATTTTTTTTCACTAAATTTTTTGTTCTTTCAACTTCTTTTTTTAAAATTGTGTTACTCAACTCATACCTAGTAGGAATTGGAAGCCCGGTTCCATATTGGCCAATTACCTCCACCATCATTTTAAAGCTATCATTTTCGAAGGCATGAAAAGGAATTGCACACTCATATGCCCACCTACCAATGAAACTTTTCACAGTTGATATTCTTTCTTTCCGAATAGCATTGTTAATATCAACTTTTTTGCCTTTTCCCGACTTCAAAGATTCTTCGGGGTTTAATGTGCTTGCAAAGTTATCCATCGGGCCTATAACATATGGTTCCCTGAAGCTCCCAAAAGTATTCTCTATTTCATCCGTGTCTATACTAATGTTTTCATTAGTATCAAATCTCACCTCCGATCTTAACGCTTCATCATGTGCTTGTTTTCCCTTCTTTTTTAACTTTCCTTCATTGATAGCATCTCGACATCTCAACTGATCATCTTTGGTAGACTTTTGACATGGAGCTACATTTCCTTTCACATGAGCAATATGTTGTTTCATTCTTGAAACCCCCCCCCCCCCACTATAAACTCTTCCACACAATGTACACTTCAATTTATCCAAGTTTGTAGGATCTGGGCAAATAGCAAATTCCCAAGCAATATCATTTGAATTCCTCTTAAAACCAGTAGCTGTTGAATCCATTGATTGTGTAGCTGAATTTTTAGATGCCATTAACAACCTTTAATCTGTGAAAATTTGAAAGAAATGGTAATGAGACATGGGCAGAAAATAACTTGAAATAACCTTTAATCTGTGTAAAGGAGTGTAATCTGTTTTGAAATAACTTGTTCCAGTAATATGAAACAACAATTATGTATCTCATAATTTGTTTAGTTTAATAAAGGGTTAATGACTTAAAACACGAATGAAAAAACTGGAATGAAACAGGAATGAAACAGGCATGAAAAAGCTGGAATGAACCATGGGGAAAAATTAGGATTGAAACAGGGGCAAAATGGTCCAGCTTGTATGATCGCTTATGAAACAGGGGCAAAAATCAAAACACAGGAAGGAAAACCCAAACCAAAATAGTTGGACCATTGTGCAGCTTGTATGTTCTTATGTTTGTAAGCAAACCAAAACAATAATGAAAAACCGAAACCAAGGGAAAAACTTACCAATGACAACTGGTCAAAGTCGATGGTGAGAAATCCGGAATCGATAGATTGAATTGTTTGGACTCGAAGGTATGGTCGGAATAAGTTGCAGAGATGATTAGACATCACGATAATCACACTGATACAACACATTCATCAGGACATAAGTTGAATAACAATTAAATCGCAAAAATCAGAAACATACCTGCGAGTGCGAATCTGCGATGCGTCGTCGTCCCATGTGCCGGTGTCTGATGGAGAATGTTGTAGCCGGAATCGATTAACCCTTGTCGCCGGAGTCGAATAACATTGGTGTAGGTGTAGGTGTGAAGTTGCGATAGTCGATCGCTGGAGAAGAGAACGAGATGAAGGAGGCGCAAAAAAAAATAAGACGAAGAATGAAGGTTGTATTTCTTTTAGTCGATTAGGTTAAGAAAAAAGGTTTAATTTTGACTTTTTTTAGTTGACTTATGTTGACCTATTTTGACCGCCTAGACCGCCATTTTCCGCCTTTGACCGTCGTTGACCGATTCCGATTAATTGCAACGCCTATCAAAAATCCTATACAGTTTACCTCCGCCAAGCGCCTAGGCGTATGCCGATTTTTACAACACTGATATATATATATATATATATATATATATATATATATATATATATATATATATAATATATATATATATATATATATATATATATGTGTGTGTGTGTGTGTGTAAGACAAGTCGATCTTACCGTTAGTAGGCCTCATTCACGAAGCCGGTCTATAAGGGGGGGGGTATAAGTTTACTGCCTATAAAATGGTAGTTTAATGGGTGTCCACTCTCACCCACCACTTCCTTGACTGGTGGAGGGTCGTTAGCCGAACGTGTAGGATAAGACATTAATTCTACCTCATTAAAAGTATAATGATTAAAAAATAAAGTAACTAAACTTTTATTAAAATTCTCAATCTTAGTTACTTTAGGAAAATGTGAAAATTGTGCTAATCGATGAAATTGCACTTTGCACCTTGTTAAGTCGTTAGTGGAGCGTGTGTGGTTAACCGACACACTAATCTGGGATTGACAATGTGTGACAAAGGGTAACTTGATCTTAATCATAGATCAATGGAGCGTGTGTGGTTAACCGACACATTGATTAGGTGATTTGTAACATTGGGTGTACCAAGCTAATTTGCATGGTTATTCACACCTTGTTTGTGATCCTCGGCATCCCAGTCACAAACTTGAAGGGCACAATCGAGATTTAAACATGTCATTGAAAAGTTCAATGAATCTGAAAGATCTAGGAATTTCAATCCAATTAAAACTTAATAATCTATTTCGTTTTTCATGGTGGAAATTAGTAAATCGTCATTTACCGACCTCCAAATATTTTACAATTGGATTACGGCATCCCTCTTCGCAATTGTAGAATATTTTGTTGGGTCCTAGCCTTAATATTTCATATTGGGTGTAATATTAAGGATTATCATATAACCTAAACTTTGTTCTTCTTTTTTTTAGATGTCTATCCCAAACAATGTTTCCAACCCAATCCCTTCAGGCTCTTTCTCCCTCATGAACCTATGTGGGAGGGTCATTTTCGATGGCTCGAACTTTAATGACTGGATTTGAAACATCAGAATGACTATTCGTTACGAGGACAAATAATATGTCATAGATAAAGAGCTTAAGGAGATTAATGTCACCACTGCTACTCCCGAACAAATCGCTGAACATACTACTCATGAGAGGGATACGACAAAGGTGTCGTGTCTAATGATTGCTACCATGACTGCTGAGCTGCAGAAGTGCTACGAGGACTACTATCCTTTTAAAATGTATCAAGATTTGATGGAAAGATACCATCAAAGTGCTCGGCAGGAGAGGTATGAGATCATTGCCTCCATGATCACAACTAAAATGAAAGATGGTGAACCCATCACGACCCACTTGCAGAAGATGCAAAGATTCGTGGACCGCTTACTTAAATTGAATGTCAATTTTGATGAAGAGTTGGCCATAGATATTATTCTACACTCTTTACCTTCTTGTTATGATCAGTTTCGTATGACCTGTCATATGAACAAGGAGGAGGTCACTCTTAGCAAGATTCAAGGCCTTCTTAGGACTGCAGAAAGCAACCTGAAAGGCAAGTCGGTTGTGTCTACTCCTACTACTACTACTTCTGCCCCTGTTCTGGAAATCGGACATGGGAAGGGAAAGAAGAGGAAGGCCCTACAAGAGCCGCAAGGGAAAGTCTCTTGATGGATCCTCTTCAAGTGGAACCAAATTTGGTTCTGCTAATCCCTCTTCCAATCCGAAGGAAGCAGAGTGCTTCCACTGCCATGAAAAAGGGCACTGGAAACAAAGCTACCCCAAGTACTTGTATGACATAAAGGATGGCAAGATCAAGCCCTCTTTGGCAGGTATTTACAATATTCAATCTAATAACTCATCACATGCTAATTCTTGGGTCCTTGATATAGGTTGTGGTATTCACATTTGTTCTAATTTGCAAGGACTAAAAAGAAGTAGGGATGTGGAGCACGGGAAGATAAACTTAATCATGGGAAATAGGAAAGTATCGCCGGTGACCAAGATTGGAATTTTATTATTTATTGCTTAGTAATGGTTTAAATTTAGATTTGAATAATTGTTGTTACTCGGCCGATATGGCGAGAAATGTTATTTCCTTTCACAATTTGTACAAACAAAGTTTTACCTTTTCCTTTAATAATGAAAATGGTGGTATTTATGCTTATTGTAATGGTATATTTTATTTTGAAGCATTACCTTGCAATGGTATATATGAAACTGTTATGGTTATAGATAACTTAGGAAATAATGTGGTGAATATTGATTGTTCTAATGAATTGGATAAGGCATGCTTGTGACATTTTCGTCTTGCACATGTCAGCAAGAAGCGCATAGGCCAAATCCAAAAGGATGGAGTTTTGGAGTCATTCGACTTAAAGTCGGATGACACTTGCGAATCTTGTTTACTTGGAAAGATGACCAAGTCACCCTTCACTGGTACTTGTGAAAGGGGTGAAGGTCTGTTGGATCTCATACACACTGATGTGTGTGGACCATTCAGAACCGCCACAAGGGATGCTAACCGCTTTTATGTGACTTTTACTGATGATTACAGTAGATATGGCTATATCTACTTAATCAAGCATAATTCAGAAACCTTTGAAAAGTTCCAAGAGTTTAAGCAAGAAGTGGAGAATCAATTGGGCAGGAAGATAAAGATGCTATGATCCGATCGTGGAGGGGAGTATCTTAGTATCGAGTTCCTTGACTATCTTAAGGAATGTGGAATTGTTTCACAATTGACGCCACCTAGGACACCACACCTTAATGGTGTGGCTGAGAGGCGCAATAGAACCTTGCTAGACATGGTTCGTTCCATGATGAGTCGAGCTTCGTTACCCATCTCATTCTGGGGGTATGCCTTACAGAATGCCGCCCATATCCTTAATCTAGTCCCTACCTAAAAGGTTTCCAAAACACCTCACGAGATGTGGACAGGGAAAGTTCCCACATTAGACCACATCAAAGTTTATGGTTGCGAGGCTTTTGTGAGAAAAGAAACTCACGACAACCTCGAACCTCGGAGTGAGCGATGTATTTTCATCGGCTACCCACAGAAATCCTTTGGATATCTCTTCTATAGACCGAGTGACAATGTTGTCTTCGTAGCGAGGAGAGGAGTCTTTCGCGAGAGAGAACTCATAGGCCAAGGAAACAGTGGGAGGCAAATTGACCTTGAAGAGCTTCAAGATTCAAGCGGTGAAGGAACCTCAAACACTAGCAATCAAACTGAGGAGGAAACTCCGGTTGATCCAATTGACGAGTCCTTACCTCTGACGCATTCCAATAGAGTTAGAAACACACATGAGTTTTATGGTTTCCATATTACTACTGAAGGTGATACATTTATCAGTGATAGCACACTAGTAAATTTGGATGAACCTAACAACTACAAGGAAGCCATGGTAGGCCCCGAGTCTGCTAAATGGAAAGAGGCTATGGATAGCGAGATTCAGTCCATGTATGACAATCAAGTTTGGGACTTGGTTGATAATGTACCGGGTCGTAAGACAGTCGGGTGCAAATGGATCTTCAAGAAGAAGACCGACATGGATGGGAAAGTACACACATATAAAGCGCGACTGGTTGCGAAGGCTCAAACTCCAGGAGTTGACTATGATGAGACCTTCTCACCAGTAGCGAAGATGGACATAGTTGCATTTCATGATTATGAAATATGGCAAATGGATGTCAAAACCACTTTCTTTAATGGAAAGTTGGCTGAAGATGTTTACATGAGTCAGCCAGAGGGTTTTTGTCAATGCAAAGTACCTTGATAGAGTGTGTAAGCTTGAGAAATCCATTTATGGATTGAAGCAAGCATCTCACAGATGGAATATTTGTTTTGATGAGAAAGTTAAAGAGTTTTGGATTTTTGAGAAGCGAGGATTAGTCATGTGTATATGTCAAAGCTAGTAGGAGTATAGTGAGCTTTCTGGTATTGTATGTAGATGACATACTG